GTCTCGATCTCTTGACCTCGTGATCCACCCGCCTCGGCCTCCCAAAGTGCTGGGATTACAGGCTTGAGCCACTGCACCCGGCCCCAGGTGCTGTTCTTTACTTCCACCCGGTGGCTTTCCCTGGCCCAGGCATTTTCTTCACACGCACGAAGCAAATAATCGAGGAGATCCTTTGCAGATGTCCAGGGCTCTGTTTTGCCAGCTCTCTCCTTTTCCATCCTCTGTCCTGAAAACTCTAGCCACCTTGGTCTCCCAGGACTGTAGGCTCTGTTTCCTCCACCCAGGGTGACCCCTCTCTTCCACCAGTGTCCCCCCCTTTCCTAGTCCCCGTCTGCTAGGGAAGGGTGAATCCTTCCCTGGCCCCATGCCAGGGCCGTCGAAGGACTCACCTGTTTTCCGCCCCCCATTCTACTGAAGGCCATGGGCTAGGATGCCCGTGCAGCCTGTGGGCTCAGACGATAGCGCCTTTGTGGGCCCCAGGGAATCTCACCTCAAAAATACCCCCACCCTGAGAGTCCAGCCCGGTGAGATCTCCCTGAGCCCTTGGTCTGGAAGCAGTGCTGCCCCTGTGTGGGCTGAGGCTGACTGGCCACTTAGGCTCCATGCAAGGGACATGAGTTCCACGCCAGTCCCTGGTAGCCAAGGCCACAGCTGCCCCTACAGCTGCTCTTGCCCCTCCTGCAAAAGGTGCAGTTTGCCTAGCTCGGGCTCTTAGCTGCCCTCACCATGCGAATAATCTTCTGGTCCCAGACCACCAGGACATACCAACTCTCACATTTCTTTTTTGGGTACCTGCCAGATATAGGAAATCTTTTGTGGAATTGGGGGAAGATGGAGAGAGAACAGCCAAGTCCTACCCCAGAGAAATTCCCACCTAGTGGCGGGGAGAGGCCTGCCATCATTGTCACTGGTGGTGTAATCGGGGTGTAATCATTCATGCGGCCCAGCGCTGGTGCCAGGACTGTGTGTCAGGCTCGTTGCTTTGTGTCTGTTACTTCATCTCAGCAGACAGCTCTCAAAATCCCCATTCTACAGATGGGGAAATGAGGCTCAGAGAGGTAAGGCTCATACAGCTGCACACAGCTGGACATACAGCTGCCCACGTGGAAAAATGCAGGATCAGTGACAGCAGGGGAGAGAGCCTTTCCAGCTGGAGAGCCAGGAAGCCGGCCCTGGAGATGGGCAGGCCTTGGACAGAGGACTGGGAAGGAGAGCTAGGAACCAACAGCAAGGGAGGTTCGAATCAGGTGCTTGCCTACAGCTGAGCCAGACTTGGGGTGTGGAAAGGCTTGGAAAGCAGGAGACGCTATGGATGGAGGTGGGAGAGGCTTGAAACTGGTCTTTGCTATCTCAGGGGCGTGAAAGGGACTTTTGGGTTTGAGAGTGACGTGTCTGGAGCTCCCTGGTTCCACAGGGTGGATGTGCTGGGGCCTGAAGTGGGCTAAGAGCAGAAATCAGAAACAGGTTTGTTTGTGAGTCAGTAGCTGGGAACACGTGGGGAAGCAGGCTTCTTGGAGCTTGACTCCTTCCTCAGCCCTGTGGACTGGGCAGCGGCCCACGCATCCCCATCCCAGCCACAGCCCCCCGCCAACTCTGGCCAGCAGCAGCTTTTGCTCCAACGGCCTCTTTCCAACCTCAAGGCCGGGCAGCAGCCCGCTGGGCGCCTTCCTGCACGGGCATCCACCCTGGCTGCTGTGTCTAGACTGCAGACACAAGTGCCGGCGGGGGCCGGGGGCCGGGCCAAAACTGGGCTGAAATCATGTTCAAAACCACAGTCAGGGCGGACTTGTCAGAAAATATTCCTTTCCCTGAGCCGTTGCAGCTCAGCCTCCTTGAATCACCCGGCCACTTCCTTCCTGTGTATATCTTACGCACGCTAAGGGATGGGGTGGGATCAACATGTGTGTTTTTACTTCTTTTAAGTTTTGTCTATGTTTTGTCCCTTCAGCGGGTTGTAGGCTGTGGGGGTGGGGCTGCTTCCAAGGGGCCTTTGTCACTGTAAGGGACACTGGGGACAGCTTGGGTTTTCTCTGCAAGCTGAAAACATTTGGTTGTGAGAGTGACTCACAGAAGGGTCTCTCCAGGGCCATGCTTAGGACCCTTGCAGGTGCTGTGTTTAATCTGAAAACAACCGAACGAGGCTCTCGATCTTTTACGGGTAAGACAGACAAGGAAGGTGATCTGGGAGGCTGGAGAGCTTGCCAAGGTCACGGACCCCTGGCTTTCTGCCTCCCAGGTCCAAGCTCTTTCCTGGACATCTGCAGGCAATGTCGACATGCCCTCCGGCGTCTGTGGTGGGCAAAGGATGTGCCTCCACCTCCGGACCTTCCGATCCCGCTGCAAGTGTCCCTCAGCCTGTTTCCTGAGAAGCCCTGGGGCTTCTGGCTTGTTACTTTTTCTTTCTCTTGAAGTAAACAGAAAAAAAGAGAGTTGCTCAGACATCTTTGGCTGTGACCCACAGGAGATGATGCAATCTGCACAGCCCCCCCATGCATGTGTATGCACAGGCGTGGACAGATATCTAAAACTGGCACCAGCTTCACAAAACACTTGCCCTTATGCAACACACATTCACTCTACACTCATCCTCCATCTTGACAGAAAATTCAAGTATACGTTCATAGTTGATATATGCGTGCCTGTACAAATGTGTGCACATGTATTCATGTATGTGTATAGCTGATACCATTTTCATGAAACACTCACCCTGCGTGTGATATACTCCTATTTTCTAGGAATCGCTGCCCACTGAGCTTCTATCCAAACCTCAGTGGATTATAATCTAAGTTTGGCAAACACTGAGCAGGGAGGAGTCATGCCTGCAGGGCCCCAAGGGTCCCTGAATTTGGGTCCTGATCACTCTGCGCCACCCAGTCGAGCAGGCAAATGCTCTCAGCCCATAAGGAAAAAGGGAAGGAAGGAAGGTAGGGAGGGAAGGAAGGAAGGAAGGGAGGGAGGGAGGGAAGAAAGGAAGGGAGAGAGGGAGAGAGGGAGGGAAGAAAGGAAAGGAGAGAGGGAGAGAGGGAGGGAAGGGAGGGAGGGAGGGAGGGAGAGAAGGAAGGAAGGGAGGAAAGACGGGAGGGAAGGAGGAAGCAAGCACCTCCACCATTGTAGGCAGGATCTGTGAGAGCTGAACGGGGCCAGGCAGCTAGGTACCACTCTGGGACTCTGGGGTTTCTTAGGGGATGACGTGTTTCTGCGGTCCAGGTAAGAGGAATTCAGGGTCACACATCCAAGGATGTGAGTCCATGTGGCAGCCGGGCCCCTCGGAGCCCCTCTGTGTCCTGGTCTCCTCTAAATGCAGATGATGATGAGAATCCATGCCTAGTCCACGGCTTGGCCGGTCTCCGGAAGAGTGTGTTTCCTACAGCACTCGGTGCAGCAGGAGGTACGCAGGGTGGAAGTGCTTTGCATTTATGTGGGACTTTTGACCCTCGGCTCTTCCCACTCCCAGGGCCCAGCATGAGTGGGTGGGAGGGGTGCAGGAGGTGGGCACTGCTCACTTCACCCCTCACTCACCCTGGTTGGGCTCCCAGACCAGGAAGCTCCATTCACAGGGGTGTGGCCTGGGGCTACTGCACTGCCCAGCAGGATATGGGGTCCCTTACTCCACACTGTGTGACAGTGTTACCTTCCTGGAAAGAACCTGACCAGCCCCTTTTTACTACTTATTACAGGCAGGAGAGAGAACTGAACATCCAGCCAGCCTCCCACCGGAGCTCAGGCCACAGGCTTCAGGATCCACTGCCATCCTCACCAGCTTAGCTCCCTGCTGCAGGCTCAGTTAAGAAACCCTGGGAGGTGGGCTGCTCCAAGTGCAGGCTGCCCCCCAGGCATGTGGAACACCAGCCCTGACTGCCAGGGCCATCTGAGGTGGACTGACCATCCCCTGGGCACTTTGAGGAAGTGTGGGCATGGTGTGAGGAGTGGCCATTCATCATCCTTTCCTGCAAGGCCTGGGCCAGGTTAGAGATGAACCCCAGCAGTCTCATACCCACCAAGGCCACTGGGAGCTTTCACGTAGTCACTGCCAGGAGTGGCTGCTGGCTGGGGAGAGGATCCTGGAGTGCCGGTCATTGGAGGCCCTCACAGGTGACCGGGAACGTGGTGGAGCAGCAGGATACCTCTTCTCTGCCATGCCCCATGTTGGCATTTGCTCTGGTGCCCCTGCAGCCACTTATAGCTCGCCTGGTGAGGATTGGGTATTGCTGGCCCAAGGCCTGCTTCAAACCTAAATATCTGTGGGGTGGGCACAGTGAGGGGTGCACCCCAGAAAGCAGTCCTGGGATCTACCTTTCCACCTTAGCCTTTCTTCCTGCTGGGGGGCCTTCCTCCCATGAGTATTGTCAGTTCTTAGCAAGTAGAAATACAGGATACCCAGTTATATTTGTATTTCAAATAAAGATTTGAACAAGAGTTTAGTATAAGCACATCCCAAATGTTGCATGGGTGTTCTGCATTTATCTAGCAGCTGTACCTGCTAGACTTTGGGCTGTGTAGTTAGGTCTTTGGAAATGACATCTGCATGGGCAGGGAGCTGAGGCTGCTGGCTGGGGTGAGCCAGGACTGGCCCCCAGGCTTCAGAGCCCGCATGCAGAGAATGGATGTGGGGTTAGAAGGGGCCGGAAGAACCAGCCTCTGCAGGTGCAGAAGAGAGAAGCTGCATACACTCCCAAGGCCCCGTGAGCCCTCATGTGGGTGGGCTGTGGTCTCCCGGGGCCTGCTAGGAAATCCCCCTCCACCTGAGCTCACTTAAGAAGGTCTCTGTTTTCCAAACCCTGTCCCCTGTAGCACCCGCCCTGCAGTAGTCACGAGGAACTCTCCCATGAGGTGCAGAGGATGCTCACTCAGTGACCCCTGGGCCACCCCACATCACAGGGATGGGGCTCTCTAATGGTCCTAAGAGTACCTCATTTCTGTCACATCCCCACCCCTGGGCCCACAGGACATGAGCTTAAAGGGAACTGAAAAGACTGGGCATGAGAGGGAAGGGCCAGGATAGATGCATCTTCAGTAGAAGGAAGGGGCTGTGTCTTCCTGCCCCCACACAGGGGCTGGGTAACTTGCTTTTTCCATTAACAGGTTGGCCTTAGGGGAAAAGGGGGCCTCACCAAAGGAGGGCTCCTAGTGGATCAGCCTAGCTTAGGAGAATTCTGTGTTGGGCTTTGCAGCCAAAGACCAATTAGTTATTAGAATTTTTCATTTGTAAGTGTTTGAGGATATGGCTCAAGCTAGCTTAAACAGAAAGAGGAAATTTATTGGCTGTGGAATGGGACATAGCTTCAGGCACTGTTGGTTTTAGGAGATCAAGTTGGATCCATATTCTGTCTCTCTTACACACTCTGTATCTCCACAATTCTCTTCTGTTCCCCGCTTTTTAGGTTTCTTCCTCAGACCAGCTCTCCCAGCAGCAACCTGATCATCAACAGCTCCAAGGTCAGAGAAGCTGGAGCTTCCAGAGCAGAGTGCTCAAGACAGTCTGGGTGGTCTTCTCACTCATCCCCCTTGGGTCATGAGCCCAGCCCTTCGGCTGGAGAGGCAGAGCTGGGGCTAGTCCTGGGTCATGTCTTCACTCTCATACATGCAGGAGGTCCACGTACAAATAGAGATTGGGAGTGACCTCGGCAGGCCACTCCCATGCTGCATTCTCTGCCTGCCTCTCGAGTGTGTGTGTTCCTAAGTGGGGCCTCACTGGGGGAAGGGGTGGTTTGTTTGAGTGCAGCTTCAGCCACACGAGACTTCTCCATAGCACTCTGTGACTTCCAACAAGCCAATCAGAAGGTCATGTAATTACAGATACACAACCACTTATAATGGTTCCACTTATAATTTTTCTGACTTTATAATGGTGAAAAAGCAGTATGTATTCAGTAAGAAGCAGTAAGATACTCTCTCTTGATGCTGGACAGCAGCCATGCGATCGAGATGGTAAACAGCCCTGCAGGGACTGTGCAGCCTGACAATTTGCCCAGCTGTAGGCGAAATGAGTGTTCTGAGCTCATGTAGGGTGGGCTGGGCTATGGTGCTCAGTAGGTTAGGTGTATTACATGCATTTTCACCTTATCATATCTTCAACCTACAATGGGTTTGTTGGGATGTGACCCCATAGTAAGTCCAGGAGCACCTGTATGCAGTGGACAGGTGACAGAGCATAGCCCCAGGCAGCAAGCCAGCCTCCTGCCAAAGCAGGGCATAGGTAGAGCCAGTCTGCAGGCTCCCACCCTTGGCTGATGGAGACTTTCAGCACCAACCCCATCTGGCTCTCCTCTCCTTCCAGGTCCCTGGCAGATGACACTCCTGGATCCCTCACAGTAAGTAGGGTCATGTGATGGGTGAAGGCTATGTCACCTCCAGGGGGAGGCATATACCTGCCAGTCTGACTCTCCAGGTCCTCTCATTCTTCCCTCCCACAGTGACCACCTAGGATGTCTTGGGTGGAGACTGAGCCACTGCCTGCCACCAGGGTGACTGCTTCTCCAAGAGTTGCCCAGATCTGAAGTGCACCTTGTGTGATGGGAGACGCACCTTCGCTGTGCTCAGCCTTGAGGTTTGGTGCTGTCTGCTGCTGCAGCACATGCTGGCCTCTCCTGACACCTCAGCAGTCCCTGGGCAAGCTGAGGCTCCACCGGCCCCATGATAGCTGATCTGCTCCTTCTCTAGTCTCGGGATCTGCGCCCTGCCCCTTCTCTATCAAATATTCCTGGGCTGGCTGATTGAAATACTAATATGAGCTAATATCTTTTTTTTAAAAAAATTGACAAAACTGTATACATGTATGGTGTACAACATGATATATACAGTATGTATACACTAGGTGTCTAAATCAAGCTAATTAACATATCCGTTACCTCACCTATTTATTTTTTTGAGACAGAATTTCTCTCTAGTTACACAGGCTGAGTGAAATGACACGACATTGGCTCACCTAAGTCTCGACCTCCTGGGTTCAAGTGATTCTCCTGCCTCAACCTCCCCAGTAGCTGGGATTACAGGCATGAGCCACCACGCCTGGCTAATTTTGTATTTTCAGTAGAGACGGGTTTCTCTCTGTTGGTGAGGCTGGTCTCGAACTTCCTACCTCAGGCGATCTGCCTGTTTCGGTCTCCTAAAGTGTTGGGATTACAGGCATGAGCCACCACGCCAGGCTAATTTTGTATTTTCAGTAGAGACAGGGTTTGTCTATGTTGGTGAGGCTGGTCTCGAACTTCCTACCTCAGGTGATCTGCCTGCTTTGGTCTCCTAAAGTGCTGGGATTACAGGCGTGAGCCACCGCGCCCGCCCGAAATTTTGTATCCTTTGACCACCATCTCGAACCCTTCCCCTGTCCCTCTAAGCTGAGTTCTTGACGGCCGACGTGGGTTAGTGGTGTTATGCTATTGGTTAGCCTTATTTCCCATCAAACCTTCTCTTAGGCCTACCCTAGTCCTTCGAGCTTCTTCCGGGACCTCCCCTGGGCCTGTGCCGTCCCGCTCCCTGCGTGGGCCTTGCTTCCGGGTGCACAGATGCACCACGGGCCTTCCTGGAGGGCAGAATTCAGTTGCTCGCGGCCTTGCCGGGCGTCCAGAGCCAGAGCTGGGCCCTGGCAGCAGGCTCCTCACTGGCAGGTCTGTTGGAAACGCTTGGCGCTCACTACCTGCCTATGGACCGGGGGCTTCTGGAGGGCAGGTCAGGGGTCCAGCCCCACCCCCCACGACTTATCTGCGCGCGGTCCGAGTTAGCGGAACTGTGCAGGCTTCAGGCCACCCACCCGAGTCACCGGACTAAGGTGACTAAGCTGCCCCGCCCCAGTCTTTGGCGGGGGTGGGTCGGTGGGGGGAAGGGCTGGAGTGCCGGGGGGCGCTGCCCAGTCGCCCCTGCTGTGGCCCGTGTGGCCGCCGGGCAGGCAGCGGGAGGCGGCGGCCTACGCTGACCCGCGGGCCCTTCGCGGTGCCCCAGCAGAGCCAGCGGAAAGCGTGAGACAAGAGTCCGGGGGCTTGGAGGTCAGGGTGACCCCGAGCGTGGGCGGCGCCTGCAGACCCGCCCCTGAGCCGCCCGTGCCTGCTCCCAGGACGCGGTCCACGCGGCCTACGCGGCCCACGCGCTGCGCAGCACCACCTCCCACAACCCACCCGGCCTCAGCTTCCCCAGAACCTAGATTTAAACTGGACACTGGCTGGACACCAGGTTGCAGAGAAGGTCCTTTAATTTAAAAAGAGGCGCATGAATGAAAAGAAAAGCAACCGGCGGTAGTGGGGGCGAGTTGTTGGGCCCCAGAACGCCCCTCATGTCTTTATTTTTTTTATTCTTTTGAGACAGGGTCTCGCTCTGGAGGAGTGCAGTATGGCGACCTCGGCTCCCGCAGCCTCGGGGCTCAAGCGAGCCGCGTTCCTCAGTCTCCTGGGTAGCTGGGACCACAGGTGCGCACCACCACGACAGGTTTTGTTTTGTTGTTTTTTGTAGAGAGGGGGTCTCACTGTGTATCCCAGGCTGGCCTTGAGCACCTGGGCTCAAGCCATCCTGCTGCTTCACCTCCCTAAGTGCTGGGATTCGGTCGTGAGCCACCGCACGGGCCCTCTTGATACGTTTATGTGGCTACGGAACCGTGTAGCTAATTCACATGAACGCCACCGGCTGAGTACGTCCTGAGTACTGGAAGAAGGGCTGCTGCGGGTGGTGTGAGGATGATTGTAAGGGTTACTGCCGAGTTTAAAATGACGAAACTGAGGCCAGTGTAAGAAAATTAAATGCCAATTTATTCAGCTCCCGGGGGGAGGTTCCACGGTCTGGTCCAGAGAGAGGGCCCAGAGACCTCGAACTGACTTCCTGAGGTGGGGGAGGGGGGAGCGGTTTATGGTTAGGTGGAATGAGCAACAGCTGGGTGCTCTGATTGGGTCCGGGGGAGCGGCATTGGGACGCGGTGAGCCGCTATTGGTTGGCGGGTTGTTGGGCGGGTTTTCCTGTGCGAGAGCTGGCCAGGGTTGCATTAGCCAGAGCCTTCCAAGGGAGCCGTGAGGCAGAGCCAGGTGCCGTGTGCAGAGCCTGGTGCCGTGTGCAGAGCCTGGTGCCGGGTGCAGAGTCAGGTGCTGAGTGCATAAGTGGGCGTGTCTGGCCTACCTGCCAGGCAGCCAGCCTTATGTTCTGGCTACTTCCTGCTGAATAGGGGTGGAGTGAGGGAGAAGGGTCAGTTGGCTGGTGCCTCTGTTGGGAGTCAGACATAGGGGTGAAGTAGCATCTGTTTACGGCCACTCTGGAACTTTCCCTCATGCGGTCCTATAAAAACCTGAAGAAAAAAGGGGCTAGCGTTAACAGAAGACAAACTACGATAATGGGAGTGGTAACGGGGTTAGCCAGGTAAGCATGGGGGATTGCTACCAGTTGAGGGGCGAGAGTGATGCATTTTGCTTCTTGCGGAGCAAAGCCAGAGCCACCTCTCTTGGAGGTGATAGTGTTGACATTTTCTTCCACGGGGCTTGTTTCATTAATGTAATAGCAGCATTGCTCCTGAAGAAACAGACAGGTACCTCCCTTTTCTGCTGTCAGCAGGTCAAGGACCCTTTGGTTCTGGAGAGTTGCCTGGGCCAGTGATGTGATTTGTTCCGGAGGGGGGGGGGGGCGGCCGACGCTTCAATAGCCACGCGAAGCTTGTCCTCTAGTTGAGTGGCTGAGGTGTCACTGTAGCCTAGGGCGCTGCTATCCAGCCAGGCCACCGCCAGAGAGGATGCTGGAGAGAGACCGACGACCATTGGGAGGAAGATTGCTCGTCTGTCTTGGTAATTAGGGGAGGGTGGAAGGAGGGATAGAAGTTCGCCCTGTCTGTATACCTCTAACTGCGGGACCAAGGTGACAGGCACACAAGGGAAAGGGCAGGAGGCATTAATAACTTTAGTTAAGGTTCCATTACACCAGAAATATCTTCCTGGTGGCGGGTAGAGGAAGGATTTTACCTTTACTGTGGTATAACAGCTGGGACTGGAGCTGCTGGCTGTCTCATAGCAGAGAGAGAAATTTTGAGGGTGTACTTGGAACAAGGGGATATCCGTTAAGATGGTACCAGGCCCCATACGTGATTGTGACAGATTGAACCCGGACCTGAGGGGAGCTGCAGGTAAGTGGGGGTTGCTGAGAGAAGCACATAAAAAGCAGTTGGTTATATTCCTGGCTTTAGTTAAATTTAACATGTTGGCTCCCTGCTGTAGTAGTCAACCAAGAGAAGGGTTGAGAGGTGCTATCTGAGGGTTTGAATTGGTTAATTAGGGTGGCTTCATTTTGCAGGATTGTATGGCTTACAGAACTGAGCTGTTCTATTGCTTCAGAGACGATACAGGTATAGAACCGGAATAGCCATGTTCCCTGAGGGTGGCTCCAGGTATAATCTTCATAGACTTTACCGGACACTCCTGCATCCCAATAGCTGTGCCAGGGGTTCCGGATGTTGAGGGCTAAGGAACCATTGCTGAAGCAAGTAAGTGAGCATGCAGTTGGGACGGCCTGGAGGCTGTGGCTCGTGAATAACACAAGAGCTGTATGGGTACCCCCATAGGTGGTGTTCCACCAATGACAGTAGTCCTTAGTTTGGTCATATAGGAAACACAGCCCGTGCCAAAAGTGAAACCCATGATTACTACCAAGTATGGCGATTTTACCGTGTGGGATGAGGATGGAGACAGTAGACTGACAGGTGCCTGTTTGGCAATTTGCCTGGGCAAGATTAATGGGTCCTGGTGGTGGGGCCCTCAGTCTAGGATTCATGGATGTAGAAGCGCCAAACATATGAGTTGGCCTCAAGGGGAGATATTAGAAGGACTGTCAGGAGGAGGCTCTGAAGGGTTAGGGGGCGACGGGTTGTGGCCATGTGTGAGGCTGAGGCAAGTGGGGCCCAGGGGTTCTGATTCCAACTATTTTGGGGTGCCAGCTTGAGGTGGGACACATGGTACCATGGAGTGTGACCCAGGAGTTTGGCTGCTGTGGGGGTGGTTAGGATAACAACGTGGGGTCTTGACCACCTGGACTGCAAAGATCCTGGTTCGAGTTCTCAGAGGAGAACGCTGTCTTCTGGTTGGAGAGGCGTCACTGAGTGGGGGTCTTCCGGTCCTGGAACAACAGGGAGGGTGCAGTCCGCGTGCTCCCTAAGCAGGTGGCGGAGAAGAGAGAGGAAGGGAAGGTAGGAAGCCAGTGGGGGCGGTTTTACAGGGAGATTATGGGAAACCAGGAAAGGCCAGCCATACAGCAATTCGAAGGGGCTAAGGCCTGTTGGCCCCCATGGGGTGGCCTGGACCTGGACCAGGGCAAGAGGTAGGAGTGTGGGCCAGGAGAGTTTTACCTCAATAGCAAGTTTGGCCAAATGGTCTTTGAGGATGCCGTGGGCTCATTCAACTTTACCCAGCCACTGAGGATGGTAAGTGATGTGCAGTTTCCAGGAGACGTTGAGGGACTTAGTGACTAGCTGGACTACTTGGGTCGTAAATGTTGGACCATTGTCTGACTGGGTGGTGACAGGTAGGCCGAAGTGAGGAATGATTTCTTCAGTAAGGAGGGAGGCCACCGTGTCTGCTGTCTCCCGGGAGGTGGGGAAGGCTTCAATCCAACCTGAAAAGGTATCTACAAAAGTTAGGAGGTAGCAGAGCTTTTTGTGAGTGGGCGTATAAGTGAAGTCAATTTGCCAGTCTTGGGCAGGTAGGTTGCCACGCATTTGGTGAGTAGGAAACCGTGGCTTTAAGACTCCGTGAGGTGAGACTTTAGAGCAAATAACGCATGCCTTGTGTACCTGCTCAATTGTTTTTTGCAGACCTGGTGAGAAAAAGAGGGGCTGTGCAAAGTGGTGTAACGCCTTAGGCCCTATATGTAAGGATTGGTGGATTTCAGCAATAATTTCAGGGGCCTGTTCCCGGGGAAGGGCGATTCTGTTATTTAGGAAGATCCAGCCCTGATTAGATTCTGTTCCCCCTTTTAGTATGAGGGCCTGTTTTTCTGATGGTGAGCATACAGGCTGTGTGGCCGTGGTAAGGAAGAGAACAGGGGTAGGGGTTAACTTGGTTGTTAGTTAAATATCTTGCTGCTGTATCTGCCCACGCATTGCCCTGGGAGACGGCATCATGCTGGGCCTGGTGTCCTCGGCAGTGTATGACTGCAACTTCCTTGGGCAATGATAAGGCCTGTAAAAGGTTGGAGATCTGTGTAGCATTGATTATGGGGACCCTTTTGTGGTAAGGAATCCCCCCTCTCTCCAGAGGGCAGAGTGGTAATGGGTAATAAGAAAAGCATATTTTGAGTCAGTATAGATATTTGCTCGCTTTCCCTGTGCTAGTGTGAGAGCTGGGATTAGGGCAATGAGCTCCGCCTTTTGTGATGTGGTTCCATCAGGGAGGCGACCGACGTGCCTAGAGGGTGGCCGAATCTGTGACCACTGCATAGGCGGCCTTTCGCCGCCTGTCGGCTGTCATTACTGAACTTCCATCCACATAGAAAGTAAGATCTGGGTTAGGTAGGGGAAGGTCGGATAGACCCACCCGAGGTTTGGCAAGTGCATCCATTAGTTCAGGGCAGGAGTGTGCTGGGGAAGGGGGAGGGGATGGAGGAGGAAGCAGGGTAGCTGGGTTGAGTGGGGAAGTGGGGTAAAGGCTGACTGAGGATTCTCAATGAAGAGCAGGTGGAACTCCTGTAGACGAGAGGGTCCTAGGTGAGGGAGGGATTTGTGGGAGAGGAGGTCGGTAAGCTGGTGAGAAGAGAACACTGAGATGGGCTGGCCCAGGGTAAGTTTTAGGGATTCCTTGGTAAGTTCTGTTGCTGCTCCCAGGGCCCGCAGGCAAGGCTGCCACCCCCTGACCGTGGGAGCAAGTTGCTTCGATAAATAGGCTGCAGGGCGGAACACAGGACCCAGGGGTTGGGTTAGAACCCCGACAGCAACGCCCTGTTTCTCATCAGTGAACAGATAAAAGGGGTGATTGAGGTCCGGCAGATGAAGTGGGAGTGCGGTGGACAGAGCAATTTGGAGGGTTTTAAAAGCCCATTTTACAATCTCAGGATGGTACAGAGGTCCCTTGGGGGTGTCCTTAGCCGCAACGTACAGAGGCTTAGCTAGAGAGGCAAAGTTGGGTATCCAGTGGCAGAATAATCCTACAAATCCTAAAAAGGAGAGAATCTGATCGGCAGCCTTCGGGGGCTGCAGTGAAAGAAGTGCTTTCCGGCAATCTGTTGTTAGGCTTTTAGTTTTGGGGGTGAAGCAAATGCCCAAGTAGACCACCGAGGTGACTGATAACTGTGCTTTAGAGGGAGATACTCGGGATCCCCGAGATCCAAGAAAGTTAAGGAGAGTGGCAGTATGCTGTTGGGATAGGGAGAGGGAGGGGCTACACAGTAACAGGTTGTCCACGTACTGGAGAAGGAGACTGGGTTGAAGGGGGCAGGAGCCAAGTTTGGC